ACCGGATTCAAGCACCTGACAGCCCGGGTGTCCTAGCTGGGGGCCCAGCGAGACCCCAGTAAACCCTCAGAAGGGACAGTGAACGTTCTCAAGCCTCCGGGGACAAGTCAAAGGCCGTTTTTTTTTCTCCCTCCCTTTCTCTGGGCAATAAAAAGGAAAGGGAAGAGGAACTTCCCTCCGAAGTCTTGGTGATTTCTTCTTAAGTACATCTATAAATACAAGCGTGTTGAAAGCACATTCTCGATAAAATTATTAATAACGTAGGGTCAGGATGGGAGGGGTCACCTAATGTGGGATCACAGGGTATTGAGTCTCAGCATGTTCCCTATTTTCAAGACTACATGCTGGTGTGCAGGGCAGCCTGTCGTGACCAGCTCTGACTTTCCCTGGGCACCCAGGTTCTGCTGCCTAAGGTCCCAAGGCCCCTTGACGTTGCCCATGTGGCTCCCCTGAAGGCTAAGGAGTCCTTTAGAATAAAATTTAAAAACAACAGAACACAGCTGTGTGCACACACACACACATGCACAACAGTCCCTGGAATCTGTAGGCTGTCTCATGCACCAGCAACAGGAAGCAGCCCCAGAAGTTGGAAGTGGGGTCCCCTGCTGAGATGGAAGCTGGAGAGAACCAGCACCCCATACATTAAAAGCCCCCAGGGGGAACCTATCCCCAGGGGGAAGCCCAAAGTTCACAAAGTTGCTCTGAGAGACGTGAGTTAAGTCAGAGAACCAGCTCAGGCAGAGGGAGCGTGGACCGGGGGGGCTGCTGAGAACGTGGACGGGGACGTAGGAGGCTGCAGGCTGCAGAAATGCTCCAGGGCGCGATGGCAACAGCACGCCTCTCTGGACACGCCTGTCAGGACACCCCGCCCCCAGGTCTCAGCCCCACATCCAGGAGCGTAGGGAGATACCTCAGGACTAATTTACAAGGTGCTTTACTCCTTTCCTTTCCCGCTTTATTGAGATATAACTGACATATAACATTGTGTAAGTTAAAGTGTACAGCATGTTGGCTTCCAAAAATCTGATAATGAAAGACAGCCTAGTTAGGGGATAAAATTAGTCTTCATAAAGCTAATGTTTTATCTTTCACAATAAATTAATAAATTGGACATTTGGATTGGACATGAATTGTCGCAAGTATGGTGCCTGGGAGTCTGTTCCGGCTCTGTGGACAGACTTGAGCCCCTGGTGCGCGAAGCTGGGTGCCAGCAGGGCGTGAGCCCCGTGGATGCCTCTGGCCAGCGGCCCCTTCAGTCTGCCCTCAACGTGCCAGAGTCCACACCCCACCTCGGTGTGGGAAGAGCCATCGCCAGGGAAGCAAGCCCCTCACGGGTTCTGGTCCTGGGAGCAATGGCCTCCCGCTCCCCAGTCTCCCTCAAGCCCCTTCACCTCCGCACCAAAGCCCTGCTCTGGGCGCCACGACTGTCGCCTGGATGGCCGTGATTGCTGCCTCCCGACAGGCCCCCAGCGTGGGCCCCCTTCCCCTGCACCATCATGGTGCCTGCTTGCCCAGCACGTTTGGCAAGCCCCACTCCGTGCCCACAAAACGGCGTCCACGTGCTTGCAAGGCTCCACGCCTGGGGACCAGACCGCGGGAAGCTGCAGGGCACCCGCCCTCTGAGCTTGGTCAGCTCCAGGGCTGGTGTGAGAAGGAAACCAGTTACTGTACCAAGCAGAGAGTGAAAGCCTGGGCCTTTGCCTGTTTCTGCAGCTTTGTTTGCACCTCTCATCAGCGCCCAACCCTGTGCCTGCTCTGGTCACCCAGAGTGACTGTGGCCTCTCCTGCACGCATGCCAGGCCCCTGCCTGCACTCCCCCGCACCCACTGTGCCAGCCAACTCCAGCACTCATGCTTCAGGCCCCGACTAGGTACCACCTCCTCTGAGACGCCGTCCTGGGACATGACCTCCCTCACCCAAACTGGAATGGCCTCTCTGTCCCTTCCCCACACACAGCACCAGGGGCACCTATACCAGTGCTTATGGCCGGCTCTGTGACCGCCAGTTTTCCTAACTGCCAACCCCACCAAGCTAGTCTTTCTGAGAATCAGGGGTGGGTCTGTGCATCCTGCCCGAGTCCCAGAGCGCCTGCTGGGATGAATAAGCATCTCTCAAGCAAACTGGCAAATGACTGAATGAAGAGAGGTGGTGCAGGTCTGCTCCACCATGGCCACGATCCTGAGACCCAGGCTGGACAGACCTGCGCTCAAAGAACATCACAGAAAAGACAGCCTGAAGAAACTGCCAGGGCCACGACCCCCTCCTCTAACAAGGCAAGGCCCTTGGGGCAGGGGGGTTCACCGTCCCCATGTCCATGTGACCTGAACACCTGCTCTGGTCTCGGAGAAGGGGCCCCTGCCTCTAACATCTAAGCATGGTTAATACCATCTGACGGAAACGTCCGTGTGCTTTTGGCCACCACCCACCATGGCCCCAAACAAAACCCCCAGAGAGACTGGGGGGAGCGGGCAGAGGCTTTGGCTTGGACGGCCGTGCACACGGCAGTGGTGCTGGCTCTCCCAGGGGCCCTGGCGTTAGAGCCTCACAAACCTCTGAGTGCAAAGCCCAGGGCACTCTGCCCCTCCCTCTCACATCGCACACTGCTTTGAGACCAAAACCTGGGTTCAGGCAAAGTAGCACTAACGTTTTTAGTTTTTGGTGTGTTTCTTGGCCTCTCTGAGCCTCAAGTGAATGAAATGATACCTTCTCTGTGGGTTTATACAGCTTCAAGGTGATAGTTCATGACCTGCAGAGCACCGATTACTGGGTGATTGTCGTGGGTGCCACGAGGGGTCGGGGAGCCCACAGGGTTGGGGCCGTCGCCAGAAACCCTGCTTCCCTCATGCTGTTTCCTCACGCCCCCTGGCACGCCCTCACAGGTGGGCAGTGGAGACAGCTCAGGGCCTCGAGGCCTGGCACCTCCACCTGGATCACCTGTTCTTCACCCAGGTAGGCCTGTTAGGTCAGAATAAGCATTGTGGTGCCCGTCACCCCACACCCATCGGGGCCATTCTGGCACAAAGCGTCTTGCCCCGGGCCCTTGCCAGGAGCATCCAGGCGCTGCAGACACACAGGTCAAGCCTCCTTCAGCCACTGAGCCCACGCGCCTCAGCTCCCGGGGTCCCGCCAGACCCCCTCCTTTAAGTAAAACGTTACACTTCCTTCTTCCCCCACTGGAGTGAGTGAGACGAGAGAACGCTGGGAAATCGACTTAAGCTGCTCTTCACACCAGCTACTGTCCTTCACATTGAAGCTGAGACTGGAGTTGGGAGATGGCCCTGCGCAGCCCCCGGACTTCCCTCTGCTCAAGCGGGGGACCCGCTTTCTCTCCCAGGGAAAGTAGTTCACGTCTCCTGCTGTCACTACTCTCCTTCTGGAGGATGGCAGTGGCCTTAAAATAAAGCAGAGTCACTGCCAGGGGCAGCCTCCGAACGTGCCTCGTGGCGCCCGTGGCAGAAGCAAGTGGGATCCACACCCCAGCTAAGGGCGGGCGCAGCACGTGCAGCTGCCCTTCACCACACATGCATGCACGTGTGGTGGAGGCGAGACCCCAGGACGAAACAGCCCAGGAGACAGTCCGCAGGGGCAGGTGTGCCCAGCAGGGCCCTCAGGAGTGGCAACCGTGATCACCACATGGTCACCGGGTGGGGCAGCAGGGCTATGGGCGAAGGAGCCGCAGCAGGGGAATTAAGTAAAAATCCTTCCCTTGTCAAAGAGGACGCGTAGTTCCCAACATATGATGACACAATTGCATATGTATTGTTTAAAATGAAAACAGGCGAGTTCACAAATTACTTCTGGACACTGAAAAATGAACTCTGGTTGCTTTTCTTCTGGGCAGCACCTAAACTCTGGCTTTGCAACATTTCAGGAACATTACAGTCTTCTGAGAGAGGCCCAGGACTTCCAGGTCCCTGGGGTGGCTGTGGAGAAAGAATGTTACTGGCGACCGATATTATGACAACATTTCAGGTTACAGGAACAGATCTAGGCGTTCACATTGTACTCGCATTTAAGCCTTCAAGCTGACTCCTAAATACTTCTGTTAACATATTTACATTTCTTTTTGGTTTAAGGAAAACGTTACTTTAGAGCAAACTGCCGTGGCTGTAGGCGAGGAGCTCCGCGGCTGCGCTTTCCTTTCCTGCTGCACATCTGCGGCCCGCACGAGTGTGGAGCCTGGCCCCCAGCTTGGCCTGACTTTGGCTTTACCCACCACAAAGCACCCCCAAAGCCCGCATCAGAAGCTTCGAGTGGCCCAATGATACGATCCTTTTCCCGTTGGCTTCAAAAGCCATCGTGACCAAACGCTTTGACCCGTGAGGCAGAGTTGATTGGAATAACGAAAAACACTTTTTCAAAAACCATTTCATGAGGTGACTGAGATCAAATCCCAAATCCACAGCAGACACAAAGGCGCTTAATAAGTGCTCAGGCATTTTAAATGTATTTTTAAGCGCAAACCGTGACAGTGCCTAACGACTGCTTTCTTCCCAAATCCCAAAGGTGCATGCAAACCTTGCGAAGAGGCCCCCAGAGTGAGAGCAGCGGGGGGGCTGGGAGGAGGGGAAGCTGGACGGGGGCCGAGGGCGGGCGTCTGGGGTGCTCCCCACACGACCCAAAGGCAGGCGGTTCAGGCGGGCACCACCGAGTAGGGCGCGGAAGGGCAGGGCTGGGCAGGGCCGGCTGCAGCAGGGGGCCCTCCACGGCCACCTCCAAGAGCCTTCCAGCAGACCTCGCACGGGGAAAGGCAGCGAGGCCGACACCGGCAGTGTGGCTTTCACGGCAGCTCCCGCAGCGCGCACATCCAGGACTCACGCTCACTCACACACACACGCGCGCGCGCGCGCACGCACGCTCCCCAGCCTGCCCACGGGTGTCAGGCAGCAGCGTCTGGGCGGCGCAGAAGTTGGGGGTGGGGCTGCTGGGGTCTCGGGGGGGCCTGTATCCACCGGGACACCCCTTCCTGTCCGCGGGCAGGAGGGGTGCCAAGGGCTCAGCTAGGTCTCCGTGGTGCAGCTGCCGTAGGCCAGAGGAGGTGAGGCCGGGAGGCCACCCCAGCGCCTGGCGCCAGGTGGGGCCTCCGCGCGCCCCTGCTCTTTGTATTTACCCAGAATGCCTCTGGCTTCTTCTGCATCCCGCAAAGGGCTCTCTCCGTACTCCTCCTTCAGCCACTGGCGGAACTGGAGAAGTGAAACAAACCAGGACGTCACACAGCTCATCCCCTACACTCCCACCTGTTACCTGATGGTGTAGGTTTGCCCCTGTGAGGCTGGCCAGCCAGTGTCTAGCAAGAGAAATGACTGCTGCTTCCAGGTTCTGGCCTGAGAACGTGAAAGCAAGCCTGACCAAGGAAATGGCACTTGACCCCAAGGCAGAGAAACAGAAACTAACATGGGGCCTGAGGACGGTGGGAAAAGGGAACGACCGCAGCGGCTGGTGGACGAGTGGCCAGTGATAATGCAGAGGGGCTGAAGGGGTGTCCTCGGACCAGCCGACCTCTGGGGGCCTTTCCAGCCTCCACAAGTCTAGGCGGGCACAGAAAGACGGAGGTGTGTTCCCAGCCCCTGAGCACGCTCACCTGACAGACCTGGTGTTCCTCAAACTCCTGCAGCTGCCTCTGGAAGCCTAGGTTGGGGTTTGCACAGGACCTCCCCGCACGCACAGTGCACAGGGCATCTTCCCAGCCAAAGTCGGTGACCGTCATGATGTATGCGACCACCAGAGTCACACTCCTGGAGACGCCGGCCAGGCTGCAGAGGGCCAAGAACCACACAGGCAAAGGGAGGGTCGGGGACCCTGAAGGCCACTGAGGAAGCCCGGCTGCCCTGGAGTGCAGGTGGACAGCAAGCCAGCACGCTACGAGGAAACTACTCAGAACATACCCGCTCTCTCTCCTTTACGACACTAGAATCTCAGGCATCCTTTACCTGTGTAGCCTCATTTTTTTTTATAGGTTTTCTACTGGCTGTGTCTCCGGATGCTTCACTGTCTGATTCCCTATTGCTCCTGAGTTCCTCTTCAGATAGTCCCCATTTCCCTGGACAGATAAAGTAACTAAAGGACATCCAGGGACTGGAGGGGTCCAGGATCTGAGCAACAAACCCAGTTATAATCTGCAGCTGTTCAGATAGCTTCACGTTTTTAAAGTCTGGTTTTCTTAGGGGTATAAGGGCCAAGTCTATAACTTAAAAAACTCATTAAGTACAGAAGCCCTTTTACCAAATATTCTGTGACCCTCTTCACATACATAAGCAGAGCGCCAGTGTGGGCACGCTCCGCAGGCCATAACGGTCAATTTTCTCTCACAGGCTGAGTAAGGGGACCGATTTTAAATGCACATGCAAATTACGGCAGTCACGGAGAGGTTGTGGTGCGTCAGACTTGGAGTGCTCAGCAACGGTTTAAGATGGGGAAGTTTAGCAAATTTCTCATTTTTAGAAAAGCCTACCTTCAGATTGACACAACTGTATGAGATACAAATTCCTAGAATATCAGGCCTGCACATATTCAAATATAAATAATAATAATAGTAAAAAACCACTCTCAAGTAGCGGTTCTTCCTGTATATCAGAAAAACTGAGAGAGCGTTAAAAAAAAAACATACTCTTGGGCTGCACCCGGGCAGATGCTAACTCGCCAGGCACAGGACTCCAGAGCCCCTTGAAACGGCTCTGACTGCACCGCAAAGCGTTTTGAAGCACATGTGAGCAAATGTCACAAAACCTGCACTTTGTGTTTATTACATGTCCTGCTCTTTTTAAAACTAAAATGAAAATGGGCAGCGATGAAACGAGGGCCCACATTCCCTGAGTGCTTGCGATGTGTCAGGTGCGGGGCACTGTGCTTGGGTTCTGTGTCTCAGAGCAGCTTTCTCTGCACGATGTGTGCACAGGTGTATGTGTATGTACCACACAGACGGCAGCTGAAAGCAGGTGGATAGCTGCATAGGAACTGCTCAATTCTAAGAGTCTATTCAGTTCTCTTTAAAGCAAAGTATAAGCCCCAAACACATAAAAGCTCCAATCTATAAACTGAGAAGAAATGGTCATTTTGGTGTGACAGTAACGCAATGCTAAACACCCACACGTGCAATCAAAACTCTCCAGCAAGAAGCAGTGTTTTGAATGGGCGCTGGGCAGAGCCCATATTCTGACAGGATCTCGGAGGAAGGCTGGAAAAGGAGTTTCTGTGTCGTGACCTCCACAGTCCCTGCAGAAACCTAACTGAGAAAATGAAAATCCTAAGTGAAAAGGAAAGAAAAAATGTACGGTTCTCTTTGCACAAAAGCAAACAATGACAAGCAGGTGGGGTCAGGTGGGGTGTGCACTGGGCGTTTGGGGGAGGTAAGCAAAACAGGCCTGGGGTCATCCGGCAGGGGCACACGTACCAGTGAACAAGGCAGCCCTCACCTCGCAGGCGGCACTCGTGGATGAATTGAATACTTTCTTTGAAATGTCTTGTCCTGGGGTGAGGAAAAAGGAGAGACGTGACATCTCCGTACTTTACTCAACATATGATGCAAAGAAAAATCCACTGAGGTTTATTGTAAAGGTCTTGAGTTCACAGCTTCAGACCCCAGTCACCGACCGGGGCTAGAACGGCCTCGGCTTTGAATCCGACCCACACCGCTGAGGTCCGGGAGGGGAGCCCATCCACTGGAATTATCAGAAGTTCTCTGCAAGGGATCCCTGAAACACACAGTTGCCACTGACTTGTTGGGGGGTGGGTCCTGCCCAGCCCCATGGTCAGTTTGGGTCCCTCAACACTCAGCAGTACAGTGACCTGCTTACCAGCCACCCAGGAGAGGGAGGTGCCCACCCAGTGTGGGCTCCCTGAGCCCTAAAGCCAGTTCACTTCTGACCGTCTGTGGATAGATCCTGTCTGTCCGTCCTCCAGGCCGGGGAAGGGGAACTGCAGCTCCAGTCCCGCTCGGCCTCACTGGATATGGGACTTCGGGAATATCACCTGGCTTCCCTTAACCTCACTTAGAAAGTGGGAGCTATGTGTCACAGGCTGGGACGAAGAAACATATAACAATGTGCCTTGCAAACTCTGATGTCCTGCATGAAGATGAAACCATGATCTTTTCTCCTGACCCTCGGCTTTTATACGACCCCCTTCCCCTGTCCCTGGTTCCTGCCCAGCTGTGTGCACCAGCATGTTCTAGATGGGTAGGTGGGTTAAGTACATATACTCTGAGGGGAACTACAGAGTACGTGCTTTTTGATGTCTCCTGCCTTTGAATGGCTTATAATGCAGCAAAACACCTAAAGATGCCCATGGACTAAAGTCACAACACCTACTGAGTACTGATTATTTAGCAGGGACTCTGCTAACATGCAAGAGATTCAGAGCTGAATAAAATGTAGTTCCCAGCCACACAAACTAGGTCTGCTGTCTCATGTCAGGGTGAATGAATCCAGTAAGAATGGGGAAATTCAGGTGGTGGGACAAACAAACTCAGCCAGCTACCGACTGCAGAAGAAACTCAGCAACCTAAGTGCCGGTCCCCGGCTACATTAGGGCAGCGGGCACAGAGGAAACGCTAGGGGCAGGCCTGATGCCACCATGTGTGGAGGGGCCAGGGTCCCACCCACAGACTCTAGACTCTCACCTGAAACCTGACTATAGAGCAAGGCAAGGGGTGCTTCTGCTGACTTTCCCAGGGGCAAATGCTCCCAGTGTAAACGTACAAAGTGAGCAGAGCGCCGAAACGCTACTCCCCCAAACCGACTTGTTGTAAAACAGGCAAGGAAAGATTCCTGCT